TGGCCCCCCCCCCCCCCCCCCCCCAGACTATCCATGGTATTTTGACCATTCTCGTGTCCTGTTTGATGACTGCCGCTACTTGCAGGTCTTGGGTGGCGGTCGTGTGACTTTCCCCGATGGATCGCATGGTCGTCCTCGCCAGGAGGGCTCGTTCCAAGACCGCAAACTCGTTTCAGGTGGCAAGCAGGCTGGCGCCATTAGCCAGGCCGAGGATGCCGCCCGCACGGCCCAACAAAAGGCGTCGGAGGCTGAAAGCCAGAAGGGTTAAACTTGCTGAGCTACCTCGCCACGTCTCTTCATGCCCCCACCGTGCGCAGCCAGATTCTATCATCTGGTTACACTCTCTTTGCTCTGACTCATCGTGACGATCCTGTGTTCGTCTTCGGAGCCTGCTCGCCACGTGTCTTGGCGCTATTGTCTCTTTTTCTGCTTGCTTTGCCCCCTCCTCCTCCTCCTTTTTTCTCTTCTTCTTCTCTACTCCTTTCTCTCTTTCTCTCTCTTTGAAGGAATTTGTCGTGTTCGATTGCTGCTGGCCTTTTTGTTGAATTTTTTTTTTTATTGTTGTTGCCCTGTTCATCCTTTCCAGCAATCCACTCGTAAGCCTCATTAATATGACATCTTCAACCCAGACGAATCTGGTAGCGCGAGATGAACCCTGTCTCCTCCGGGCGATAAGGAAACCACATGATGTAGTTGGTACCCCAGATGTTGTTGTACAGGCAGGAGCTGAAACCTTGGTTCAGGTCTGGTAGCGCATCACAGCAAGCTGGAAAGGGAGTTGGATGGCCCCAGGCTATGACTGGAGCATCAAGAGCCGTCACGCTGAGCCGTCGGTCATTCCCCGTGTAATGCACGCTTCCGCTCACCGCATGCAAAACCTGCCCGCCAAGCAAGGATCGGTGAGTGTTCACTGCTAGCTAACAAACTGCTACTGTGCATCATCCGACCCAGCACTCCAAGCGTCTCAAAAATCTGCTGCCTGCAACAGGAGATGGCGAAACTGGGCACGCACCGTCGAGCCATTGATGGCCACATCCAGCGGATGAAGGGTGGTGTTCAACTTGTCCATCGACCAGCCATAGTTGGTGTTTGATAGATCGGTGCTTGGATCAAAGCGGAGCCAAAGACTCTCCGGCAAGCGCGTGGCTGGCTTGTTCAGGATTGTCACAGTCAGCTGCAACCTGTGGGTCAAAATAAAATAAAATAAAATAATAAAAAACCGTTTGGTCAGATGAACGAGCGAACCTCAGTGCAAGCCGTGGAACATGATCGACTTACTGGCTTGGGTTGGCCGTCGCCCACTGATAGTGAAGCCACACCGTGGCAGGCGCGCCATAGTGCTTGGTCAAGTTTGTATTCATGACCAGCTCCAGCTGCAGGTCCGTCACACCTGCAGGCGGCCGTCGTACGCGTGACATCAGTTCATCGTCAAATCAAACGCCATAAGCACCGCTTGGCCAAAATGGCAGAAAACCGCTCACCGTCTTTTTGCCGTTCAAATGCTGCAACCAACTGGGCATGCGCTGTCTGCTTCCAATTGCCATACTGACTCGTATTGAGTCCGGGCTTCCCAAAGTCTTTGGGGGCGTAGCTTGGAATTTGCCCCTCAATAAGCCTATCAGGGCATTCCACAATCAAGCCATGCTTCAACACTGCAATCCGGCATTGCTATCGCGTTTGCACCCACTCAAAGTAATGATTGAAAAACTTGTCGTATTCATCTGGCGTGTGTGACTATCGAGTAGCCATCACCACTTGCATCAGCACCACTTTGCCTGAACACGATAGCATCGAGCCGAATCATTGGTGCACGAGTGAGGCGATACCCAACCTGGTACTCAAAGAGAGCGACCACATCTTGCGTCGAAGCAAAGGAGGTGCCCCCATGCTCAAGTTGAACAAGTCCACCAGCTGCATTGAATTGCAGCCGCAACGACTCATAGGTCAGCATCGCCGTGGGATCAGAGATCTGGCATTGCAAGACAACGCCCCGGTAAGAGCAAGTAGGTTGCTATCTCGTATCATTCCCGGCATCCGCTCGAGGGACATTGCAAGAACCCCATGCTTTTTTGATACCCCAAAGCGTCCGTCCTGAAGCAAGGCGACAGCAAAAGGTACCTTCTGATAGCCCGACAGGCCGGGTGAACGAGGCTCGAGTTCTTGGAGCCGCTGTCTGATGTCGTTGGCCAAGGGATGGCCCCCCAAGGCCTGCATTGGATACGTGAGACCCCAGTCGCGTTGCTCGTTCCAAGTTGCTGTTTTTGGCGTCCCCCAAGTGGACATCGGCATCAAAATATGCAAGCACGCCAGTGAGCAGGCGTTTGGGTCGGCAAGGGCCACGCTATGCCCAATGACACTAAGAGTGATCCAGCCCACCTGCAATGGCCAGAAAGTTGCTGGCGTTGTATTGAAGGGGGTAAAAGGCTGTATTATCCCAATTGGTCACGTCGCCTGCCGCATGATTTACGCGGGTACAAGATGAGCGTGTGGCTGCAGCACAGATGCGGTCGAATCCTGGTCCAGTTGAGGCTTCATCAATGTGTGATCGTTGCCTGGTCAGACGTGGAACATACCCAGAACGTTCTTGACATCACCACCCCATGTGTGCTCTGGGCTGCAAAATTCAAGCGGGCCGTCATGTACACACTACATTTTACACGAATAGCAGGGGTGATGGGGGCTGGAGACATACTTTTTGAGGAGCAGCCGAGTAAAGTTGAGCAAAATTGGATCTGAAGCATTGCATTGGCCATGGCTCTGGCAGTCCTCCCTGTCAAACCAACAAAGGTAGCTGAGGTGCCCCGACTAGTCGTCTATCCGGTTTTTTTTTTTTTAATCGTTGAAGTCGTAAACTTGCCCCACGAAAAGGAGAGGTACTGACCAGGCACGCAACATTTCGCGATACTGCGTGTTCTTGACAGGGTCACTAGGAACGCCATAGATCCACGTGTCTGCATCAAAAAAAAAAAAAAAAAAAAAAAAAAAAAAGATGTAGCATAAGCCACCGTGCATGAAAAGCAAGGTCTACAGAGAACGCAATTGCCTGCAAACTTGTGCGATCAAAAAGCGCAATGGCCACGCACCGCCAATCTCATCTTCGACGATGGGTAGCTGAGCACGAATAGGGTCGAGCAGCCGGAAAAAGGCATCAAAAGAGGATGGCAAAACAGTTGCATTGGTAAATTCGGACCGCAATGAGGCCCAGTGGTCTTGGATCTGGTCTACACTCCACGGGCCGGCGTTATCGTTGTTGTAGTCTGGGCATAGAGCATGGCTGAGCCCTAATTGTCGCACCACATGCCATAAGAAGATGAGTATGGGTGGCGATTGGAACAACATTTGATTCTGATCAGCCATCGCCCACCATCCAGAACGATGCAATCCTCAAGCGTGATTCCGCCATAGCCGTAGGGATGAACTGTGGCCAGGACCTCAGTGCGACTATCTGGATCCCGCCAGCGGAAGACGCGCGGTACGCCAGGGGCCAACGAAGCCGTATTGACGCCCGAGGAGAACCCCAAGATGCCTGCCCATCAGCGCTCGCACAAGAGTGAGGGAACAGAGGACACGTGCTGCAGCGATCTTGGATACAAACAAATTAGCCAGACGGTGCAAAGCTCTACGAGGATGCGCACCGTTTCGAGCCAGCAGTGGGATCATGCCCCGTGTGGCGCCTGGGACGTCCCGCTGGGTCATGACCAAGGGACTGGAGATGTTGAGTTGCACAGACAAGCGCTTGCCCAACTGATCAGTCACAAGTCACCCAGAGCGAGAAGCATGCATGAGGACATGAGTATAGATGAGCGGATTGATCTACTTCGGCAGATAAGCTGCACAAACCTGTAGAGCCTCCTCAAAGAAAGCGGACGAGAAGGTAGCGGTCTCCGAGTTGTGGGGGAAAGCCTGCATGTAAAATGGAGCAGCAAACTTGAATAAACCGGTTTTCAGTTCACGGCTATAGCCAATTGCCCATAAGCACGCACTTGCATGACCACGTCTCCATTTCGAAGAGCGGCTCGAATCTGGTCTTGCTCTGTCGGGGTTGGGCAGGTAAACCCCATTCCTATGATGGAGTGTCGATGGAAGCAGTGATCGCAACAGTTGAAGACATTGAGGGCAAGATCGCCGGCGCTCGCGCAACAACTAGGAAACCTCAGGACCTGCCGGCAAAAGGCATCCTGTGTCATACCAAATTTTGACAGTCACTGACTTACCAGGCGGGCAGTCCAAGAGTAGGGAGACAATGTAGGGATGGGTCGTGAAGACAAGACCTTCGCCATGGCCTGGAGGATGTTGTTGGAACCACTCGGCAGTTGTTTTCTAAAGCCACCAAATTGCAATGTCCATATGATTGAGTCTTACAGCCGGTGTGAGGTCGTAGTCGCCACGAGGTGACGAGGTGACGAGTGTCGACAAACCGCCTCCAGCAGGTACTTTTTGTAGTTGTCGAGCTCATGCGCAGCAGTATCAGCAAATCCGACGTCCAGATGGCACGTCTGATTATGCACCGGATCCCCGACATTATGGGTTGAGTGAAACGAGTATGAGCGTGGGTCAGCCAGGCACGTCATGCCAAGCGATGCGGAAATTGTCCTCCGAGGAGGAAGAGGAGGGCTCGCACCTGAACGACATGGACATGTGTCACGTGCGACACATCACGCGCCGAAACCAGCAACCCCAGCAAAGCCGCAGCCCAGCACAGCCAACGTAACCCAATCCGCCACATCATCCAACTTCAAACCCAGCACCCTCAAGTTCCAACACGACCAGTCTCTCCTTCCCGCCGCCCGGATGCACCTCGCCTCCGCCCCCTTCAAAAAAAAAAGCGATCAGTCGTGTTGTGTGTGTTTGTGTGTGTGTGTGTGTGTGTGTGTGTGTGTGTGTGTGTGTGTGTGTGTGTGTGTGTGTATGTGTGTGTGTGTGTGTGAACTGCAAATGAGAGATGACGCAATTTGTATCTCTGTTTTTACATGTGGTAGTTTTGCCTCCTCTTTCTCTCTCTAATTGGATCTCTCTCTTCATCGTATCGTATCGTATCGATGTGAAAATGTCATCATTTTGAAGTTGCAGCAAAAAGGGGTGCTGATCGTGTGTGTGGGCGATGGCCAACCGAGTGGATGGATGGCGCGCTTGGACGAATGAGCTATTGAGCTGATGCGCCAGATCTTGGGTCACTGGGTTCTCTGATGCCTGCTTGTGCGCGACGAAGATGGCACGGTCGTCGCAGGCTCAACGCGTGGTTGTGGCCTTGTTGCTTGTCAGCCTGGGCGTCAACCTCCTCTTCCTCAGATACTGGCTCGCCGATAGCCATCGAGCTCTCGATGGCTTGAATGACCAAGGTACGCTCTCGATTTGGTGCCTCTTACCCCCTCGGTCCCCTTTCTTTTGCCCCCATCTCCGGGCCCTGACGCCTTTGACTCCCACGCATGGCTCAACTGTGTGCGAACACGTCAACAACGGATCAGGCATACCATGGCAAGACAGGGCCCGAAACGAAGGCGATGTGCATCTACCGCTCAATCAAAAGCAACCATCGGCGACGAAGCGGCCAGCTACAGCGCCTGTCCCTGCGCTTGACGAACGCAAAGGTGTCATTCACCACGACCACCCGGGTGTCCACGTGGCAGATTCCTTCTCCATCGAGGCCTACTCGAGTCGTTTGGCGGTTTGGGTCCGAGTAGACGGCAAGACCGTGCGTAGTGCAAAGTAGCAAGCTCTACCCATCAGTCTTTGCATGAACCCATGTCCTGACTCAACCTCGATTCTCACTGCTCGTCGGCCGTGTCCAATGCCTTTTAGATCTATAACGTGACACTGTCGCCAACAATTGAATCGCAGCGCGGCATCCACGTTGTCAGCCTAAATGGTGCCACCGCACAAGTAACCTCAGTCGCCGACTTTGACACCTACGCCCCAGGTGCCGAAGAATGTAAGCCGAGCTCATCGATTCGATTGACTGTCAGCCCCTTGCACCACCGCCCAAAACTTGCCGACGCCCACCCTCATGAGGCATCGCGGATCAGATTTACTCGCGCACATGGGCACAATGCATTCAAACCGTATTCTCGTCTTTGTTGTTCGTGACGAGGCCTCAAATTCTCTATCCTCTCGCTGCCGCGAGCTCTTCAAGGAAATGGGTAGTCAGAAGGTGAGCCATGTCAGCCAACCCCCCTTTGAAAAGCGAAAGACGCACCTTTTCCATGCTTGACCAAGCGTCTTGCGCTTTTACATGCTTGACCGAGCACAGCAACACACAATTTTCCACAAGCTCGGCCCTAAACTCTTATGTGCCCTTTCTTGCTCGTGTTTAGATTGACAAGCTGGGCTGGCGAGGGATGTGGGCCATGATTACGCGTCTGGACCACCCAAGTGAGACAGTGGTATGTTCATGCAGCGCCACGCTTTCTGCCAGCTCTTGAGCCCAACTGCTGCTCAGGACGTCGTGCACAAGTCTTTAGTTATCCTCGCGTGTTGTTGAACCTCTCATATCCCATTTGCTGGCAGGAAACGTTGAGCCAGGTGATCTCGACGAGTGAATGGGCACCGCCTGCAAAGGTGGGAATCCATCCTTGAACGGCTGATATCAGATACCACCAACATTAGACGTGTCCCTTTTTTTTCGCCAATTTAATCAATCCGTGTCACGCTTGGCCCGGCCAGGCCACTGCTTTACTTGAAGCGGATGACGGGCCTCCTTGCAATTATGCCGATGCAGACCGGTACGTCGATGTTATCCTTGCCTCTCATCGTAGCCAAGACTCGCACCTCGGCCTCTGACACCTTGCTGCACCATAGCCGAAGTTTTTGCGGTCAATATGACGGGTATCCTGAGCTTTGCCAGTGCCAGACTCCACTCGTCATCGATGCAGCGCCGCATCAACCCTTATCGTACGCATCTTTGGCACATCTCCGATTTTGCTCCAGCGGGGGATGTGGCATGATCAAACGCTCCTCCGAGCTTGACTGGCCCAATGCTTTGCTTTAGTGAGCTGGCCGATGTCCCCGTCATAATCGTGGCATCTGAGAACCGGCCCCGCTATCTGTACAGAGCTCTCTTGGCACTCTTGAATAGCCAGGTACGCACGAGTGACCGACCACCCATGCTGCGACCCTACTCATCACTTCAGCTCATGGACTCTGGCACGCATACACATGCGCGGCACACACACATTTTCACGGATGTAATTTGCCGTGGTGCTGATTATTTTCCGCCGCCAACTTCACTCCAGGGATCTGCACGAGGCCTCATCCACGTTTACATAGATGGACGAAGCAAACCGGAAGCTGCTCGTATGACGCGCCTTCTCGGCATCAAGTTCACTTGTCAAGAGCCCCATGGCGAGAAGAACGGTCGCATCAGCCAACACTATTTTGATGCCCTCTCTGCAGCCTTTCACCTTGATTTTCCCAATGCTGGTGTGTGCCTGAGCTTGGTGTCACGACGTTGGCCTGTTGTAATCAACACTCTGATGCATACCTCTGCTCCCCTTGTGATGATCGCCCGACTCGCTGCCATGCGCTCTTGCAGAGCATGTAATCATTCTAGAAGAGGATCTGGAAGTGAGCGCCGACTTTTATCACTACTTTGCCTCTACGCGGCATCTGCTTCTTCAAGATCCGTCTCTGTATTGCATCTCGGCCTGGAATGACTTGGGCTACATGCACACCGCACAGGACAGCAGCTTGCTATATCGGGTGGAAACCATGCCTGGCTTGGGTTGGATGTTATCGCGGTCACTCTTTGTAGACGAGCTGGAGCAGAATTGGCCACAAGCCGAAAAAATGTGGGATTGGGACATGTGGATGCGTTTGCCAAACATTCGCAAGGACCGCGAGTGCCTTATTCCAGATATCTCGCGCACTTTTCATTTCGGTGCCTCCGGTGTTAACCTCAACTCTTATTTTCAAAAGGTCTACTTTGAAAAGCACCTTCTGAACCAAGCGCCCGCGGCTCGCGTCAAGACAGCAGGCATGACCCAACGTGAATATGAGGAGCAATTGGACAGCCTCATCCAGAGTTCACATGCCGTGGACACGGCCCGGGACCCCTGCCAGTATCAGGATATCATTCCGCCCGGGAACCAGGACCACTGGGTTTTCTACATCAAAATGCGTTCTGACTATGATTGGGACACCTGGCTGGCTTTGGCCTCATGCTGGAAGATTTGGGATTTGGATGCGCGTGGATTTCACAAAAGGTTGGTCATGGTCGTGTTGCACTACCCCCGTGCGTTTGCCTCTGATACGCCAAGCTGGGTATCCTATTCGTTCCTGCACTCTTGACTGCCACACTACAATCATGTTTAGCGTCTGGCGGCTATTCTTGAATGGGACTCCCATTTTTGTTGTGGGATCTACGTCTCCATACTACAAGCACAAACCGGTGCGTGGGCTTGCAAAGCGTTTGTTCATCGCCATGTGAAAGATCGAGCCTTTTAAAAAGTGGATTCTCTTACATGTTGATACCAAGATGTTTAAAAACTAACACACGGACAATACTTCAGATGAACATCCCATCTCATTCTGCAAGGCTTCGATCATCTCACATCCTGTCTTGCCTGCTCACTGCTTATTCACACGAAAAAAAATTGCAGGCACATCTTGATCCCATCTTCAAGCCGAAGCAGCCTAAGAATTAATGTTCAAATCCGAATTCAGTTCCTTGCTTATCAGGCTGTGCCGCTTGAGCAGACCCATGAGGCCTTCAGGCTGTAGAGTCACTGGACCCGCTCGCGGCGCGCTCGCCCTTCTGCAATTCCCACGAATCAGGCATGCGCCACGATGAGTCACAAAGCCGGCATGCCAAGCAAGAGAAATAATCAATCAATCGATGCCACAATCCTGCTGTCCCAGCCAAGGCCTCTACGCGTTGATCAAGTCATGCTCACCGCCACAATCAAGAGCTTGCCATCACTCAATCCAACGATCAGGTGGGCATCGCCTTCCGTCAATGCCATGCTCGTAATGGCGGCACGGGTATCAATGTTGCGCAAAACATCCAAGCTGCAAGCATAATGACACCGACGTGTGGAGTGAGCACATCAACAAGCATCAAGCATGGCAAAGTCTAAAGTAGCTCGTGCACTCAAAACACAAGATCACCCAAACAACCGATCGGATGGAGGGCAGGTTTCAGAGCCTACTTACGTATAAATGTTACGAACTGTAATCCGACCGTGGCGCCCGGCCGTCGTCAAGTAAATGCCATCCGCGCTAACGCACATACATTCGGTCTGCGTCGCGTGCAAATCTTGGGCAATCAGATCACCGTTGCAGCTGAAGGTGTGAAGAGAGTGAAAGCGGCGGCGACGTCGTGATGTGTTGCTGAGCTCGCGTGACGTCGGCGTCCACTGAGCGGCAACCACGCACACCCCAAAGCGAGTCACCATGAGCTTGTGGAAGTTGATGCGATATTCAGTGGGATCAAAAGCCTCTGGTCCCGGCTTGCTCTTTGTCCTTGCGCTGTCAGCACTTTCCGCCGATAGCGGGCGGTCTTCGTCAGCGTCGGTGGTCACTTGGATATTGGGAACCCCAGCTGGTGCACCACTCTGCGAGGCGTGGGAGGAGGAGTCGGCCTCTTGGCCGGTTGATTGCAATGTCGCGTCGCTGTCTGAGACCGAGCCGGCTTCGACCAAAACATCAGCGCCATTTGCACTTGAGGTGTCGTGCTGCTCATCGTCCTCCTGCTTGCCTTCGCTGACAGCATCTAGCTGCGTGCTTTGTGAAGCTGAGCGCTTGGATAATGCCACGGGCTTGGAGAGGGCTTCCTCTGGGCTGAGTGCCATTTCACGAGGCAGCACACGAAAGTCAAGGGTGCGCAGGTACAGGCCTTGACGAATAGAGTATAAGTTGCAGGTCGCGTCACCGGCCGCCGTCAGAAGCAGGTCCAGCTCCTCCTGAAGGCAGAGGGCCGTGATGGGACCGTCATGGCCAACAAGGGTGTGATGTGGCCCCGCCAGTACGCAAGCCATGCCGCCATTATTGTGCATGCCTAGCGCTGACGCCGCGCCAGAGGCCGTAGCTTTGAACCGGTGCAACGTCCACACCATGACTGTGCCATCGACACAACCCGAAGCGCATGTTCGATCGTTGGCATCGAGAGCCACGCAGCTGATGATGTCACGATGCCCGCGGGCGCTGTACACAACGCGGCGCGTGGCCACGGAGATAAGTTTCAAGTGATGATCCCATGAACCACCGACCAGTGCAAATTGGCTGTCACGCGTCAAATCCACGTTGTTATTGCTGAGCGTGTTGCCAGGCTCAAGCCAAGCACGCAAGTCGCTAAGCTGTTTGGCCGCCGGTGTCGTATCGGGCTCGAGCTCGGGCAGACCCTGCGGCCCGTTGACCCAACCGTGTACAGCTATCGCGCCGTTGTTGGAGAGGGTGACGAGGCGCTGCACAAGGCCTCGAGTCAGCCACGACTTGGCATTTCCCGTCCGCGGGGGAGCCACCACAATGGGCACATTGGTAACGGTCTGCGCCACAAAGTAGGCTTTGAGATGCTTCAAGTCTTCGAACAGCGCTGAGCTGCCCACTTGCAAGTCGTTACTCAGTCGTGACCGATCCAAGTCTTCGGCCTTCCCCATGCGAGCCGGATGAGGACTCGTCAAGAGTTGGCTGGGTGTCTGGCCAAACTCACGCACCATGCCCTCCTGGGCACGAACCTCCGCCTCCGTTTCGCACTTTGAGAGATCAATGGCACCTTCATAGGAGGTGTAGTAAAAGACATTTAAGGCCTCCTCTGCGGCTTTGCCGCGTTGTTTGTATCCAAAAATCAAGTCAATCCAATGATGCAGCTGTTGCGACACGTGCTCACTCTCCAACGCAGCGCGGTGCTTTTGAATGAAATCGAAGGGACTCCGTGCCCACGGAGGCAAATCGACGTGGTGCACACGCTGGCCGTTTTGCAAACAGCCGAGATCAAAGCCCTCACGATTCATAAGGCTCTCGGGTAAACAGAACAAATCGGGAATCAGCTCTTTGACATCGCCCGTGCCGTCCACGATCGACTGATATGTTGTTGAAAAGCTGATAAACTGGCGATCAGCGTGATCAAACTTGCCACTCTGCACCGTCACAAGCCAATGCGCCGGTCGGCACGAGACACCAGATTTTGAGGTGCGTGAGTAAACCATCCATGCGCTTCACACTCTTAATGACACAAAACGGGCAGAACAAAACAAAGAGCCAATGTGACCCTTATCGTTTGGTCCGCCACTCACCTGCAGATTGATGTGAAGGGAAGTAAAAGGCTCCATGCGAATGAGATAATGTAAAACTCCAGCCGCATTGCTGTAATGGGTGCCGTAGTGAAACTTGGCCACCAGGCCTGATGGATCGACAAAATCGTCAAACATCATCTTCACCTGGTCGGCGCGTCTAGCATTGAGCGCACCCACGGGTTTGGTCAGATCGCGAAACGTGGCCGGGTCGCTCAGGTCCAGCATATCGCTGCTATAGTCGGCCAAGATCCAGGGGAAGACTGGATACTGGTTCAGGTCGTTGAAAGAACGCCCTGAAGAACAATGTCACCCCAACAGCGATGGCAGATGAGACAAAGTCGTAAAATCACCGTTATTTTGGAATCTTGGAATACCAACGATAAAATACTAAAGGGTTAGCCCTGTCACCTTTGTGCTCGGTGAGGTGAGCCCCCCATCAACATGTTGCCTTACCAGCAATTGTGTTGAGCATCATCAAGTAATCAAAGTTGCTGATTTGACGTCGGCACCAACGCTCAGTCAACCCCGACTCGGTCAAGAGAGCCCCAGGAGCGATCATGCGCGCCCCAAATGTGAGGCTACCAGACAAAACACAACAAAGCCACGTAAAATACATTGCAACGTGGGGACAAAGTGAGAGGACCAGTTCAGGGCAAAGTATCGCGCTAGTCGAGAGCAGCAGCAGTTGATGCGTACCGAGGTGGCTTGAGCGAGATCAAGACCTGATGGACCTGGTCCCGCATGCCCTCATCAAAGTCGAAGAAAAAGTTTGTCTGATCAATGAAAAACAACTCGAGAGCGGTTGAACGCAGATTGTAGCGCCGCAGATGCACCTCTCGCAGTTGAGTAATGGGCCACTGGAAATCAGCCGGCATGTCTTCCCCCACGGCGATGGGCAGTGCCTCTAGATCGCGCAGCTCAGCATGAAACATGATAGAGGTCCGGTTGATGGCAAAGATGCCACGCATGGTGTCCATCAGACAGACCATCCTGCAGGTGGAGCTAAATAAGGGCACTTCCGTTCCTTGCGACTCAATGTGATCCGGCACAGAGGATGTGAAGCGCTTCAACTCTTGCTCGGTTTGCTTGCTTTTGGCGTGACTCAAGCGGGACACACTCTCACGGCGATCAAAATCAAAGGTCTTGGGACTGAGCAAGGATGTCGCGTTGTCGCGCTGGGATGCAGCCTTTTCGTGATTGCTAAAGTTGTGGAGAGGTGCCTGGCGCAGGCGCATGCGGCTGAAGTTTTCGGTCGAATCCAACTTCCAGTGGCGCACGATACGCTCCTCACGTGGCCGTCCATCATCAAGCACACCACGATACCCAAGGAGGAAGCGTGTCAGCATCATCCAACGCCGGGTGGCCGACTTGTAACGCGCGGTGGCCTGTGATGCCAGAGTTTGTAAGCGTTTAAACTCTTTGGTACACTGCCTTGTCGCAGGCTGCAGAACATTGGCCTGTATCCGGGAGCTAGCAGCCCCAATGCGCTCCTCCAAGCGTTGAAGAGCCTGATACAGCCGGTGTGCCCCCTCTTCCTGCTCAGCAGCAACATCCATGGCGTTGGCTCCATGATCAATGTACTCACGGTCCATGATACTAAAAGCCACGGGAGCAACCTAGCGTATGTCGCGTCATGCCAAATTTCAACAGTAACATCCAGGGCAACAGAGGCATCAGCAAAAGAAGCAAAAGTGGTAGGACCCAACAAAGAAGCGTGCAATTTTGCAAGCATCGATGTGCTGGATCTGCATGCCTGAAGAACATAGACAAGTGTACGAACCACATCGTCAATGAGGCGTCGCCAGTTGGCAGATCGGAGCAAGATCATGAGCTTTTCAACTGGTGCATCGCTCAGAATTGCCTCCCCGCATTCACCCATGATACCAGCAGCTGCATCACACATACACATCGAACAGAACAAGCGTGAGCTCTTACGGAGAGAGGGAGAGAAACAGAAAAACGGAGAATCACCATCGAGCAATAAAAATATTAAGTTGCAAAGACCAGCTGCGTGTGAGCTTGTGTTTGTGTGTTTGCGCCACAGACGATGACGGGTGTGATGGGTGGCCGGGCCCACCTTCGTTGCTCTCCAGCAGCATGTCAAGCCTATGAGTACGCAAGACATGCTTGAAGAGAGTGGCCACGATGCTAAAGAGTGCGTCCTGAATGTCATCGGCCACAATGTGCAGCAAGACATTATCCAAGGACCAAATGAGATAAAGTAACTTGTTCTTGCCTGATTCCGAGGCAGAAAGGGTCAAAAAGTCTGGGCTACCCATAAACATTTGTAGCCGCTCAATGGCAAAGACGCGAAGCCCCTCTGGCTGATTTAATTCCTCGAGATATGCGCGCAAGAGAATGCGGCGCATACCCCCAGGACGCACGGCCACAGTGCCGGCAAACTGCACGTCCGCTTGCTCCAGCACGCCGAATGAGGGCAGGGAGTCAATGCTCAGTCGATCGGCAAAAAATGACATGGCCCGCAGCAAGAAGTGTCGGCCCACGGGAGACAAAGTGGCGCGCAGCTGCTGGCTGGTGTGGAAGTAGTGTGTCTCGGCCTGAAACACCACGCTGAGCACGTTGGTAGCCAGCACTGTACCGATGTTGGATTGGGCGTGCAGATGACCGTAGACGCGATCGGCCAGCTGGCGTAGCAAAACGCTTGTCAAAAAGGAGGCCAAGTCGGGCGTGGAGTGGGCTGATTTGGAAGTCGAGCCCTCAGAAGGCAAAAGCTGCAGCAACACGGGCCGCAGGTTGCGCTCCCACTCGAAGTGTGTGTCCATTTGCAGCAGCATCATCTGTGCCAGCACATGCAGTCCAGCAGCCAACGGGGGACTCAGCTCCGATGTGAGCTCGTCTGCGTCTTCTGGAGCAGCACATAATAATCCAAGCCGAGATTGATCACTGTGTGATAGATTGCTGACCAGCAGCGGCCGTGGATTGAATGCCGCAGCCGTCAACCATTGGGTCAGAGTCAACATCCAGTCAAAGACGCAAGCGGAGGCTTGGTGTGCCACCCCCTCCGCATTGAGCAGGTCATGCAGGTCAAGAAGGATACGGCAATGATAGGCATAATTTGTGCGATCCAACTTGTCAAGGAGGCGCAAAGCCACGGTAACAAAGTCAGGAGCCACTAATTCACAGCGGAACAACGGCACCTCACTGCCGGCATCAAATTCGGAAGAGAGAAGCGTAAAGCCGTCTCCCGATTCAGCCTCGGTAACGGCAACCCTGGGGCAAACGGCTTGGTCTAAAATTCCCTTGAGTACCTGGAGGCCATACAAATGTGAGGCGTCAGGGTCTGGGCCCGGCTGACCTTGAGACGGTAGCAACCAAGACGAAAGAGCAGGCAGAGGCACTATACCTCATAGGATGTGGCGTTGCGCGGCTCACGAGTACCCCAAAGTGAAAGCAAGCTCAGCGGTCCGATATCCAGCAAGCGCAACTGTGACCTGGTGTAAGACAACCCGCTGTATCAGAAACAGGACAAACAGCCGAAGCCAAAGAGGAAGCACAAACGCGAAACAACCAGAAAAAGAGAGTCAAGGGCTGCCACGAACTTGGCGTCATCATCTAAGCGCATTGAATGGCGGGAAAGAAAAACGAGGATACGCAAAACGGCAGCCCGAAGCTCTGCTTGTTGCCGTTGCAGGAGGCTATACAACTCGATGGGGGGCCCGCCAAACGTAAGAGCGTCGTGTACGTGTTGGCCCAGCTGGTCCCCATCTGCCATCGCAAGCGTTTGGTGACCGCAAAGACACGTGAATTTTTTTACGATACAAAGTGACTACCCAAGAGGAATCTGACCCAACAGCGTGGTACTCGATGACCGATCGAGATGAGTGAGCAGGCAAAAGAAAACTGAGAAAAAGAGAAAAAGAGAAAAGGAAAACAGAAAACAGACAACAGAAAACTTACGCAAACCTGAGAGGAGCGCGTTGTAGCAAAAGTTGAGGACAAGCAGTGTGTGTTGCAAGTCTTCGCCAGCCAGTACGAAGCGAAGCAGGGCCTTGGCTTCGCGTTGGCTTACGCTGCGCCGCAAATACATCTCCAGCAACCCCATGACACAGGCATAGACACTGCTTTCCTCGTCCGAACTCGTGTCAGAGGGCGAGCGGGTAGCGACGCTGACGGAACCTAGGCGCGCGCGCGCGCGTTCTTGAGACTCACGCAGGCTTGGGCGCAAAAGATCAATCACGTATTGTACCCCGTAATGTTGACGGAAGAAAGTAGGATGGTTGCGAATGAGCTCTGCCACTGTGCGAACGTGGCCCACGCGCACGGCGTAATCTGAGCGGCCCCAGAGCTCAAAATCAAACACGAGCTGCTTGCATACGGCGCGTACAAACTCGGCTTTGGGTGAAGCGCGCTCAAGCAGAGCCTGGATGGACATGAGGTCCTGTATTCCTAGCACAGCGTACTCGGAACGCTGCAAAAGGGCTGAGATGACGGCCAGGACGCGCCCTTGCAGGACCTGAGCCACATTTACATCATCACGCAGCACGCCCTGCAGGAGATCAAAGAAGGCAGCCACACAGGCTGAGCCAAGCTCGCCCACAGTTTCACTCTTCCCGGCGGTGTGCATGTTGTAGGCGTATACGGCCTCCACCACATCATCGAGCTGGGCTAACAGAAAGCAAATGACCTGCACACCCCCGAGGGTGCCAATAACCTGGCGCACACTGCGGCGCACGCACAACGTGCCGGTGAGTACGGCTGGTGGCTGTTCCTCCGCTAGCGCGTCGATCATGGTGGCTTGATTGCGGATTTGACCGTTGCGACACAGCTGAGCAGGATACATGACCTTGAGCAGACCCTGAATCGGCTGTTCTATCAGCGTGCGGGCCGCCACCAAATCGGTGCTGCCCGCCTTGCGCATGTTCTGGACGCCCTTATCTTCGCCTGGCGCACCAACGGCAGGCGTGGTGTTTAGGGAAAGAGCGTCAGGTGGAGCGGCGTCGAAAAAGACCTCTGTCAGGCTGGGATCCCCATCTGAGTAACCTTGGACCACCTGGTCCAAGGTGTGATTTTGTTTGAAGGAGGCCAAAGTACATGCGTCAAAGCTGCCCACGTAGTCGATGCCCAAGGCGTAGACTGCCCGGATCTGGTCCGTCGTCAGTGGCTCAAAGATGTGAATGTTCGCCAGTTGGGCACGCAGAGAGGTGTTGCCGGTACGCATAGGATTGAGCGCAATGCTCTCGTCGGCATCACGGCCCCGACCGATGCGACAGTCAAGATAAGTATCCCGGCGCGATGGACATGGTAGGGCTGCGGTCTCGCGCAGCTCACCATCCAAAAACAGCTTGGTCTCGCCTTTGCCTCCAAATAGATGCGCAGGATTAGTTTGAACGACGGCGAGACTGATCCAGCGCCGGATGGGAATTTGCGTGGTCGAGAAGACGTGAGTGTGCATTTGCTGGCGGTTGCCCTGACCCACAACGGTGCGCACTGCAAGTCGACCAGCCGTAAAGAATGCTTCAAACCCGCTGCCCCCTGCGGCATGAAAGCTGAATAGACGAGGCTCGTAGCTGCCCATCTGTCGTGACTCACGCCGCACGCTACCAATGCCGGGGTCCGGTTCGCTGGCTGAGGATGAGCCGAGTCCGGTGGTACCCGGCTCCTCAGCAGGGGCATGTTCGGAACTGGCCGCAGTGACGCGAGTGGCCGTGCTGCGACTTGGTCGAACGCGCACCGGGGCACCGTGTTGATGGTGCAAATCAATTGGTAGGAGCTCCGCGTCCAAGGACTCGATCCGAATCCAGGTATGAAATGTGTAGCCGCCACCCAAGCTTGCATCGAGATGCGGCACCCAGAGCATGGAACGGGTGCCATGTAGGTCCATCAGATACATGGGTTCGTGTCCAGCGGCTGCCACACGAAGAAGGGCTTGCAAGCGAAGGTAAAGCTCAGGACGAAACGTGGGACTCTGCACAAAAAGGAGATTCAAAAGGCGGCGCAACTCGGCTGTTTCCACGGCATGCGACACGAGAAGCTCTAGCAAGCGCACGAGATGATCGCTAACGTCATCCGGGGCCGTGTGCCATTGCTCGAGCAGGGTGAGGATGATGGCGGTGACATTGCCCTCACAGCAGCAGTTGGCATTATGGTAGCTGTCCTGAATCATATGCATGATGCCCTGAAGCACGGGGCACACGGTGGTCGAGGGTAGATCCAGTTGTGGAAGGTGTTCAAGAAAGATGGCCAGAGCTGCTGGGGCGCGAATCACAAGAGGCTCCGTCGCCAGTGTTTCGTTGATCGCAGGACTGTCCCAATTGAGACTGAGCCCGATGACGAGCTCAAGCCAGAGATAGCAGTGAAAGCGACCCAAACGCAGGCCTTGGCGATAGTCGTCAAAAAGTCGCTGGTAGCCAATTCGGGTCCGAAACCATTGCTCACCGCCCTCTTGATGGATCATGGCAGCGATTGTTCGAAAGGCTGCGGTCAACAACTCCGTGTCCACAGCGCGCTCCAACACTGCCAAGCAGGATGCAAACGCTTGATTCTCCAACAGTAAACGGTGCAGGGTGTGGGGCCGGGGCGAGCGGAGACTGCGGCGGATCACACGCAAGAGCTGGGCCGTTCGCTAGTGTTGCCCATTCACAAGCAGTCGCCACAATTAAAGGCAACACAAAACCAAGATGCACAAACGAGTGAGAAAGAGAAAGGAAACGGGACACATCGTGTGACTGGTCCGCGGGAGGCGGAGGCATGCGAGAGTGGTTCACAAGGGCAGTCATCGTTTGGGGAGGATTGGGGAAGAGGGGGATGAAAATGGTACCTGAAGGTAAGCAGTCTGCAGTGCGGGCGCAAGGGCTGTGTCCTCGAAGGGGGTGCTGCACTGCCCCAAGAGGCCACAGACAAGCGCTTGGGCAGCAAAATACTCCTCGCGCTGGCTATTCTCGGCGGCTTGTGGGATGCAGGCCAGCATGACAACGAGTAGCTCGTCAAGCCAGGGTACGGCCGGTACGGCCCGCGCCAGGCGAAGTATTTTACTGCGCAGCCTTTGATGCATCGTCACTAGTTGTGCACGCTCCCCTGAGCAACGCGTCCAGGCATTGAGAACGCAAAAAATGCGCTCCATCTGCAAGCGGGGGTCTCCAGGGGCTGGCGCTGGGCCAATGGTGTCGGAGGTGCCATTGCCGGAGGCCGGATCAAAATCAAGAGCCCCGCTCGCCTGACTAGGGGAGCCGGGTGAGGCGAGAGAGGCAGCCAGGACCGCCTCGGAGCGGAGCGACTCGTAGCAGGTATGGAGGCCTTGATCCAACAGCCGAAGCTCAGGAGCAAGGTCGTGCTCCAGCGCAGCACCACTAAGGGCGGGCGTTTGGATCCAAGCCTGGCCCGGCGCAAAGACGCGCTGCACAAATGGTAGGGCATAGCTATCCAGGAGCTCCAGAATTGTCATCCCCTTGATGGCTGAGTCTGCGCACTCGCGGGCGACAATGGCAAGGGCCAGAGCTGTTATGTGAGAAGTTACATCACTCTCTGTCAGCGCATCAAGGTTGGCGTCGTCCCGAGCCACAAGTGCACTCAAGCGAAGAAGGGCTGCCGTGTGTTTGATGAGGCCAGAACCCTCGTCGCTGAACCCAGGCTCGCGGAGGAGGGGAGCCACTTGAGCCACTGCCGCGCCAAGTTGGAGTCCAAGCTCGTGACAAAAGGCGTCCGGATAGGCGTCCAGTTGTAGTGATGCATGTTCGTCGCGATCACTGAGGTAGCTCATAACGCAGTAGACATATGCGTCAAAGCACTCGGCTGCCACGCTCTCATCGGTGGCGCGAGCTTCGAGATAACTGTACCATGCTGCATCGAGATCAGCCGCTTGATCCTCGCGCCTAAATATGCCCGCGCACGTGTGTCAACAGGCCATAGAGATTGAGCAGGGCGCGAAATGGCTGAGCGCAAGTCGATCTTCACGCTTACATGTGCAAAAGGGAATGACCCGAGAGGCTGGCATCGAGCGATGAGCCACCGTTGCCGTCACCATCAGCTTCGGCCCCGCTCGCGCGAAATCGTCGGCGGAGCCAACCCGCAGACTTGCTAAGTGGATTCAGAATGTTGCGTGCCATGCTGTCAGCCCAAATCGCCCATGAGCATGGGCACACGTGGGGTGGGGATAATTGGGTTGATGAGGCCGGCTACTCAGTGCGTTCGAGTCGCGGGTCCTCAGGGCATTAAATAGCAATAAAATAACCCCGCCCGGCTAGCCGCACCACATCCTATCTCGACCAAAGGGGCATTCACCGGTGTGATCAATTGATCACATCTACATGACACACCAGTACCTGACCAGCACGTCACTTTGACTGTGGCTGATGTCAACTCACGCACCTGACACGCCGTTGTTCGCTTCGCTGTCCTGCTCGATCTGACCCACGAGTCGGACCAAACCAACCAACATTGACAATAAAAAACGAGTGGCACAAGCTGACTGACAGCAACCGCCACCGCCACCAATGTGAGTTGCCAGCGAGTGCCCCGCCCAAGCAGCCCACCAAGGCGGAATCAGATCAGTGAGACAAGAACGAGAAGAAGCAGATCCAGAAGAGAGCGCGCGTCTGCGAGAGTGTGTGTGTGTGTGTGTGTGTGTGTGTGTGTGTGTGTGCGTTCAAAAGGCAATCTGCCAATAAAATGGATCTTCAAAGTAACGTTTGATCTCTCTCTCTCTCTCAACCAATTCATCCCAAACTCTCTAACCCTCTCAAACCCTCTCTCTCTCAAACTCTCTTCTTGTACACATGTACGTCCAAACCTGAGCTCACTGGCTTCGTCGTCTGGCTTCGCGGCGGTGAATGGTGATGCACCGAGTCAGTGTGTGTGGAGTGTGAACGAGCAGGTGACGGTCTTCGACGACGGGCCTGTCGTTTCGGGTTGAACAAGAGGCGCCAAAGGCCGAGCACCAACCGGCTGGCTGAGCCAGGGCATTGAGGTTCAGGGAATAGCAAACCCAAAGGTCGGTCATTGGCTGGGATTCGCTTCCCCTGCATGGAGCCTTCATCAATTTTATTTTTTTTATTTTTTTCGTCGTGGCTGCTCCAAGGCCTCAGGCATACTGGCCAAGATGGCCTCTTCCAAGCGCAGTAGCAGTCAAGCCGAAGCCATTGATCACGATGAGGAAGACTTCAAGACCCCTTCTGGTGTGTGTCTCGAACCAAGACTCGACAGCTCAGCGCTCCAGGGGGCGCCCGTTCGGTTCGTGGCGCACGCTAATCAGCGCTCTTGTCGGCTCACACAGCTGTCCAGAAGACAAAGCGCACCAAGCGCACCAAGCGAGCCTCAAATGCGACCGCGAACGACGAAGAGGAAACTGAGCGGATTGATTTCGAGGATTCAGACCTGACACGACCGGATATGGGAATCGGCAACACCTGTACGCTCTCTTGCCAGTTGATGACCCATCCAGGCCATTCTTGAGTCCCGTGATTCGCTCGCCGGCATTGCCTGGCCCCTACCTCACAGCCCCGCTTGCCGCGCAGCGAGCTTTGAAACGGACGAATATGGTGCCATCGACATGCGGCATGCACTCGAGCTGAAGCCCGATCACCCCAATCGGCCTATTCTAGTAGTAAGCCCGCCCTTCGCAATCGCATTGTTCCGGCAAACCCGCAAGGCTCACGAGCACTCTGGCTGCATTTGAGCCATAGACTCCAGATGGGCAAATTTTTTTGGAAACTTTTTCCCCCATTTACAAGCAGGCCTATGATTTTCTCATTGCCATTGCTGAGCCCATCTGTCGCCCCGAGCACATTCACGAGTACCGCATCACCTCGTACTCCCTTTACGCCGCCGCTTCAGTTGGTATCCAGACGGACGACATCATGAAGTATCTGGACCGCCTTTGCAAAACCGACCTACCCCTGCCCGTGCGCAAGGACATTCGCACCTGCACTGAGCGTTATGGCAAGGTACGACTGCCTGCCGACACCCCGCCGCTGTGGGCATCGTTTTGTGAGGGCTTCCTTTGTGGTTTGGCTTGCGGGTTTTCCTGCTGCTCCTTCGCTCGTGACGACTGTGGCTGTTGCTTCTTTAATCCTGGCTGGGCTGTGTGTTGCCATTACCAGGTCAAGCTAGTGCTGCGCAGCAACCGCTACATTGTTGAAACCAACGATGAGAAGGCCATCTCGGTACGCCGTCTGGTGCTCCTCCAGGCGCCACCGTCACACACAGGAGGCCTCATACACCATGATTCTTTTTTAGGATTTGCTGAAGAACCCCGTCATTCGCAACGCCAAAATAGACGATAGCGAAGTGCAAGAGCAGCGTGGCGGGGCCCCATCTGCCGATAAGTTTCAGGTGTGGCCAAATACGTAAATGCGTGAATCATCTGCCCACGTGTGCCCTGAGTGAACTTGGAGCTCGGCGCGCTCACAGTGGATACATGAATTCATGCTAAAACCCTGGCGTAGTTTGAGGGCCAGGCGGCTGCCGATGCCGCCCGCCTACGAACATCGCAGGCCCATCAAGAAGATGGTGACGAGTTGTCGGATGAGGCGCTCGTCGCCGCTGCTGATGCCACCGAGGAGGTAGGATGGCTTTTGGACTGGCCATATTCTGGATGGCCTGGGCTCAAGTATTGTACTACATCTGACTTTTTTTTTTTTTCGTCGGTGATGCTGCGCATTGACGCCTGCTCATCGGCTACTTTCAGCTGGCCGCGGTGCCAAAAGACATCCTTGACCTCTATGATCGAGTGGATGAGTTTGCTGCTGACGTAAGTGTGATTGAGCTAGCGCACCTGTTCTTGAGACCACCATCAACTGACCGATGCATGGGCACACAGACGGACAAGACACTCTTCTCCTTTGAAATCAAGAAGGAGCATGTGGAAAGCGTTCAAGCAGAATGTGCTCCATCTCGTCTCGATTACCCTTTGATTGGCGAGTATGACTTTCGGCGCGACCAAAAGCTCCGTGATCTCAAGATTGATCTCAAGCCCACCTGCATTCTGCGGCCCTACCAAGAAAAGTCGCTCAGCAAAATGTTTGGCCGGACGGGCCAAGCACGTTCCGGCATTATCGTGCTACCCTGCGGCGCTGGCAAAACCCTCACTGGTGTGACTGCCGTGTCGACCATCAAAAAACGTGCCATCGTGTTGTGCACCTCCACCGTGGCTGTGGAGCAGTGGTGCTCGGAATTTCGCCGCTGGTGCAATGTCGATCCCAGCATTATCCGCAAGTACGCTGCACAAACCATCTTCGCTGCTTTGATGGGCCAGCACACGTTTGCCTAACCGCACTTCGACACGCATTTATCTCACATGTTTGGGCGTGGTCTGTGGGGGGCTGCATGCATCTATAAAGGTTTACACGCGATGACAAAGAACTACCACCCGAAGATTGTATCATCTGCTGCACGTGAGTTTACCTGTGCGAGGAGCTTTTTACTCTTACCTGTTCCGTCTGGCGTTGTCTCGAGCCCTGCGTCATGAGCAGCTGGAATTGCGTTTGCTCTATCTTAGGTACTCCATGCTGGCGCCAAAGAAGAATCGATCCGAGGAGGCAGCACGCGTAATCAACTTTTTGCGCAAGCGCGAATGGGGCATCATGGTGCTGGACGAGGTTGGCCACCAACACTGGCGCTGTAACCACCCACTCGTCGTGGCGGTGGGCCTATATCACTACGTGACACACTCTCACCCACGTGTATTCCCTTTAGGTGCAAACGGTACCCGCTGCTAAATTTCGAGCCCTCTTGACGGAGATTCCCAGCCACTGCAAACTTGGTCTGACCGCAACGCTGGTCCGCGAGGATGGCAAGATTGATGACCTTCGATTTTTGGTTGGCCCAAAGCTGTATGAGGCCAACTGGATGGATTTACAAGCGGCGGGTCATATCGCCCGCGTACAGTGCATTGAGGTGTGGTGCCGTATGACCGAGGGCTTTTACGAGGAGTACCTCCGTGGGAAGAACCGCATTCATCTCAAGCGGCAGCTTTGCGTATGCAACCCCATCAAGGTTTGACATGTGCCATCTCAACAGAATGATAGTCATCTTGCTGCGCATGACTGATGCATGCGGTTTGATGCTCTAGTTCATGTACTGCGAGTATCTGATCCGACTGCACGAAGCCCGACAAGACAAGATCATCGTCTTTTCTGATGACAAGTTTGCACTTCGTACGCTGGCGATGCAAATGGGCAAGGAGCACATTGATGGCGACGTACCAGATCGCCAACGGCACGATATCATCAACCGCTACAAGACCACCCCCTCCTTCCGGACCATTTTCTTTTCCAAGATTGCCGACAATGCCTTCGATCTGCCAGAAGCCAACGTCCTGATTCAGGTGTGCTCGTGTGTTTGCTGCTGCATAATCCTCTCAGGCAGTCATCAAATGTCCGTTCATGCCACTGAATGTGTGTCCAGATCTCTTCACATGGTGGTTCTCGCCGCCAAGAGGCCCAGCGACTGGGCCGCATTCTACGGTGAGCATGGTTCCACGGCTTTACTTACCCTCCTTTCCTGATCCGGGAGGGTAGGCATCGGGGAGCCGGTGGTTGATCAGTATACAAAATGCTTGTACACTTAAACGATACTCTGGGGACAGCTTTCTCATGCTCGCGTGCACGCTCGACTCTGCAGGAAGAAAAAGAACGACCGGACCAAGCCTGGCGAGTACAACGCTTACTTTTACAGCCTCGTGTCCCAAGACACGCTGGAAATGGCTTATGCCACCAAGCGCCAACGCTTTCTGGTAGACCAAGGTTATGCGTACAAGGCAAGTACTCAAAGTCCTCTGCTGTTTTGTGGTTTGTTTTTTGTTTTGTTTATTGATGGTTTTTTTTTTTTTTTTTTTTTTTTTTTTTTTCCAAAATGTCTTTTCCTTCTTCCAATTTTGTTTTTCCGTGCGTGTGCTTCTTTCTCACTCATCGGCCTCGAAATGGGTTGTGGACCAGAATAGGTGATGAAGTACCTTCCTGGCTTTGAGGACGAAGGGCGCACTAGGCCTTATGCTTTTGGCACTGAGCACAAGCAAACACAGCTCCTTTCTCGCATCTTGGCCAACAAAATGCCGGTCGGTAATTTCTTTCAACCAGCTGCGCTTGCACGATTACGCGCGTGTGGCTTGCATGCTTACCGTTAGGGGTATGGGGTCTGCTGTGCCCAGGATGAGGAGGGACGCACTTCAATTGTTGGTGATGATGACGATGACCTTTACCCGGCTGCCGTGCAACGGCGCGCTACCTCACTTTCGAGCTTCAGCGGCGCTAACAACATGGTCTACCAGGAAATTCGCGCTCGGACGAAGAAAAATGAGTGCGGACTGATCGTTTTGCTTTGCCTTGCCGTGTGTCCCGAATGAAGGTAAACGTGACGACCGTGAAATCTTGTTGTCACTCATGTTCGATTTGATTCGGGCTATGCGGCATTTATAGAATTCCTGCCTGGAAGAAGAAGCTGTTGAAGTAAAAGAATAGAAGCAAAGGCTTGTGCAACGGCTGCGCTTCAGGCGGCCGGACGTGTTAGGAAGAAGTTGTTTTCAAAGGGGAGAAAGGCTAACGCGCTACGCGCGATCGAGGGTCAATAAAACCATGCGATAATCGGACCAAGACAACATTGTTGTGCGTGCTTCTTCAAAGTTGATCCAGGCTGAGGGCCGCTGACCCTTGCTAAGTGAAGGCGATCAGACATCCACAGTCCAAGGAACCGCGCATTGAGGGGAGAGAAAGAGAAGAAAGGCATAAATAAAATAGCACAACAAATGCAAGAAACTGCGGGTCGGAGGCCACATACCGCGCTGTCAGGAGCTCGCGCTGTGCTACGCCATCCGCGTCAATCCGCTCTCGGAGGGCAAAAATGAGTGCATAATGATTCTTGAGGTGGAACAGCAGAACTACGCAGTTTGGCGCGGAAACGATGTCAACCAGGTATGAATGCTTGGTTTCAGCGTCGCCGCGAGTGAAAGTCTTGAGTAAACGAGCAAGTCTGTGCACATACCAGCATTTGGTTGCAAAAAGGCATTCTGTAGGGCATGAAATTGTTGACAAATTTGTTGGGGTGTATCCTGTGATTGTGGCGCCATGAACAACAGAAGCGTTGAGATGCAAGACGATGCGGCCAGCTGCATGAAATTCAAGAAGTGGAAGCCTACCCTTTTGGACAGGACGTGAGGGATAGAGCTCCCGCGGGCTGGCTTGCCCATAAAGGCCTTGGCTTGCAGCGGCAGCTGAATGCCGAAGGAGCATAATTTGTGATGAGGCTGTGATCTGCCAAGGGGCTGTAATGTGAACTTTTAACGGGAGTGGGGATTGGAAAGGCGCACCTGATACTGATCTGCCAGGCGGCGGACAGCGCCCAAAATACCCCAAGTACCGAAAAAGCCCGTGCTTGGTCGTTCACGCTCCAACTTTTCAAGTCCACCGAGGTTGTTGCAGTACTGCAAGAAGCTCTTCCTCCACAAGGGGCTGATGCGGTGTGGAAGCGGTGCCCCATCCTACCCCATATGAGCAGCATGGATCCGTTCAGAGGACGCAGGGAGGTGAGGTGCGCTGGCCCAGCATCCAACGGCATGCATAGGATGCCTAGGCGTTTACCAATGCATCGACAAACGGTACGCACCTGATCCACAGTTGCAGCAGGAACAGGTCGATCGGCCGCCTGACCAGGTAGGAAGATTTCGACTCCATCCACCCTGTCATGCCAATGTCAGCAAGCCACGGGGTTGTTCAACGCACCAGGCGCGCATCAGCAGGTTCGCGGAGCTCCTCAGCCAGTCCTTCTGAACCCTCACAAGCAGGGCTTGGAGGCCAGCTTACTTTGCATCTGTATCGTCATCCTCCTCCTCCGAATTGCCGACAGCGGCTTGATTTTCCTCGCCCCCTGCTTCGTAAGCAACAGCGTTTGCCAGCGGAAACAAGGGGTTGTCGGCATTGCCTTCTGTCGCAATGTCCTGCAAGATGGTGCGCAAGACCTCTTTGATGGTCTTGGCACGGGCTTGGCGTGGCCATTTCATTCCCAGAGATTTGTCCTGGGCTGCCAGGTGAGCTTGCAAGGCCTGTGCCAGCGGCTCCACTGAACAGCCAACGTCGGCATGAAATCTGGAGTGGGTGCGTCATTCAAGCAAAAAGGGTTGTCTGCTGTGAATTAAAGAAAAAAACTGTGTCCTGCTAGCAGTCAAGAGCGAGACGAGGAAGGAACGAACTTGGCAGCATGTGTGGTGAGGCGAGTGCGTAAGATACCCTTGAGCACTTCCACCAGGTCGGCTTGTTGCAAGGCTTTGGGGTCATGGCGACCAATACGCTGCAGTGCATTGTATGCTCCTGCCACCGAAGCTAAAAGCGGCCAAGTCCATGATTAAGCTGCAGCCTACCCCAACAGGGGGATTATCATCCAATCAACCCTCACCTGCAGCACATGCAGGACTGCTCTGTTTCACCCAGCCATTGAGAAGAAAGGTGTTGTAGGCAAAGGAGGCCACAACCTCTGACGGGGGTCCTGAGGCATTTGGACCAAACAAGAGCTCGCTGAGGTTGATGTCTTCCCCGGCATCTGTGTCACGCTCGTAGCCTCCGGCGGCCACTACAGCCTCGGCGGATGGCAGCTTGGCGGCCATGGTTTGCTCAGATGACAGGAAAGTAACGCTATAATCTGCAAAGCCACATCCTGCCGTGAGTGGCCCCAATCCAATGTTCCTTGCCAGCTTTTAAGCTGCTTTGCCTCTTGCTTCTGAACCGAGACGGCCGCACCTCTCACTCCACCAAAGAGAGGCACGATCAGAAAAATCCGAAATTTTGTTGTTTTTTGGTCCAAAATTTTGAATCCTTGACGCCGAAACCATCACTACATTCGCTTGCAGCCAATTCTCGCTGCCAGCTGGACCCACACACACACACACACACACACACACACACACACACACACACACACACACACACACACACACACACACACACACACACACACTGTTCTGATTGTGTGTATCATTTGTGTGTACTTTTGAGCTGTTGTGTTGTTGTTGTTGAGAGAGAGAGAGAGGGGGGGGGCGGTGTGGCGAGGTCAGTCATCGAGAGGCAGCAGGCTTGACAGTACCCGCCAGCCAGCACGAGCAGCAGCTGGGTGTTGGAGGGAAGGGCACGCGTTTGCACATGTGATAACGCTGCTTGGACCTTTTTTTGAGGGAGGGTGTGCATGTGCTTCGGCGGCCTGAAAGAGGTACCAGCTTGATTTGAAGCAGGGATTTGGGCTGGAGTGAGAAGCCACGCCCTCGCTGTGCGAATGATCCTAGATCAAGACTGGGCAGTGCATTACACGGCTCTGCGGTCATCCAATTGGCAACGGGCGCTACAGGCCATGCCCAAGGCACGTTTACAGCGGTGTAAGGGCGGCTGAGCACAGGCGGCCTGTGCACACACCCCTGCCCACCGCAAGGTCGGAAGTATTGGCATTACCTCCCTTCGTGCTTCGTCCCGCCCTCCTGCACGGCCAGCATGGGTAACATGGCGGGACGTTTCAAGGCCGATCAGCCACCTCGAGGCCAACCCATTTTTTTTGGCTCCGTGGTCAAGGTTGGTGTGACTGATCGTCCTCGCCCCGCTGCCCACATCATTATCACCTCACGCTTTGGTCTCCTGCTTTCTTGTCATCTCAGCGCGGCTGGGTGAAAAAGTCGTGGCAGGTTCGTTTCATGGAAGCCTACCCTTCTGGCCTGTACTACTATCGTACCGATTCGGCCGAACTGCCCGAAGATGCTTTGGGGGCACCCATCGCCCCAGCCGGCTTCATTCCGGTGAGCGAGATTGTTTGTGTCATCAAACCCAAGAACATGGAGCGCATCCCAAACATCAACTGGCCCATGAAGAAGCACGATCAAGCGCAATTGACCAACTGTCGCTGGGGTGTGGAAACCTCCATACGCAAATTTTACTTTGTCTCTCCTACCGTTGAGGCTTGCAACGAATGGATTGAGATTGTTTCCACCCTCCTGGGTCAACAAAGAGCGGACCCCACCTCGGCTGGCCTGGCACGCGTACGTTTTTGCTCATGCCATGACCTGTTTTCTTCAACATCGCCGCACTCTGGCCGCTGCCGCGACAGTCCTCAATTTCTCTCCGCCTCGCCAATAATTGTGTAGTTTGCCCCATCCCCCCGTCGGGACCAGGCTGAGACCTACGATCGGCGCAAATCCATGCGCTCTGTTCATGATCAAACAGCTTTCTTCAGGGGTCTCCAGGTGGGTCGTCCCACAGCTTCCCCCCCCCCCCCCCCCCCTCTTTCTCTCTTTGATTTTTGTTGTTGCGTTTTGTTTGTTTTGTTTTGTTTTGTTTGTTTTTTCCTTACCCTGCCACGACTCTAACGTCCAATGTGTCTTCGGGTTGGCTGGTCTGCTCGTCTCACAGAACGTTGAGTCAGATAACGATGATGACGAGGGCAATGATACTGATGACGAGCTTGTCGACATGTCCAGTGGCCACCACCAACCACCAACTCAAGCATCGCACTCGTGATGCGACGCGAGGAAAGAGCGGCGGGGACCTTTAAGAAGGCTTTACCCTTGCCCAGCGCTGGCTCCGTTCGCCGCCACCGCCAGTAGCGTGGCATCGAGCATTCGCTCTCATTCTCATTCTACCAGCTGTCCTGGAATGACCTCAGCCCGAGATCATGCTTTGGAAGCTAATTTAATCGAAAGGCTTGATGAAAGGCATGGCCTGATCACTCGCTCGTGCTAATTCGTTGTTGCTATTTTTCAACCTCAGCTTCTTTTTTCAATTACATAGTGTGACTGTTATTCGGAGAGAAACCAAAGCGGGCCTGCTGATACCCCTAAAACTTGGCTGATTGACACATTCATAACTAAAAGTCAAGGGCTAAAATCATGCCTTGACAACGGAAACAAAAGATGCTTCGAACAACTCGTGACCCCCGAGCAACTTGTAGATCCAACAGGAGGGTCGGGACTAGTGCAAACACACGAGAGAAACAAGCGTGTAAACGCGCAACATTGGCCGGCACATGGATGTAACAGAAAGGATGCCGCGACCAACGATGGATCAAGCTCAGAACCAAGGACTGTGGTTGATGTAGCAGGTCGAGCCGACTTGATTGACCCGCTGCAGCACGCCAGCCGAGATGGGATTGCGACCCAAGCTGGATGTTGCCCACCGCACAACCAGGTGAAGACAGGCCAATGCCCCAGCGTCAGGCATGTCAAAGACTCAGAACAAGCAAGGCAAGGCATACTTGAGCTCGGACAAAGTGGTGTTTGACCTCAACATGCTTTGCAGTGGCTCCTCGCAATCATCTCCCACGTTGTTGTTGTACAGACTGGATCCATACAGCAGCGCGTGAGCAGGAGGCCGTCAACTGGATGCTGTGCCTCGGTGAGCGAAATCCAAAGGGAACGCACTTGAGCAACAGAAGGCTTGAATTTCGTGCCAGCGCATCAAACAGGCATTGAGCGCCTTCCGTCTCGACATTGTTGCTCCACAAGCTGCCGGCATGCAAAGTAACACATGAATACGAGGTCACAGACCAAGGTGTCAACAAGCAAGCCAGGGGCCAGACCTGAGTTCGACCAGGCGGCAGGTTGCAGAGCCCAGGACATTGCCCAACGTAGCTGCTCCGATATTACCAATGCCATTGGCGCCCAAACTGCGGCAGGACAATTGAAATAGAACAGAGCAAGAAGTAACAAGGGTATGCCATTTGAGCCAAGCGCTCGCCCATCCACAACACACACACACACACACACACACACACACACACACACACACACACACACACACACACACACACACACAAAGAGAGAGAGAGAGAGAGAGTGGACTCCGTGCTCGTCAGAAACAGACTTGAGCCGAATAAGCGAGCAGTCACGTAGGCCATTTGCCAATGCGGCACAGCCTTGATCGCCAATGTAGTTGTTGTAAAGACTAAGTACACGAGGCAAAGAAAACAGGCAGATGGGCAACTCGTGAGGGCGGATGTGTGATATGGCACTTTTGTCACCGACACGTACTCGAGATGCTGCAAATGACAAAGTGGGGCTTGAAGTGCGACTGCTATGCTCTCGCAAGCATCAAACTCAATCATATTGGTTTTCAACCTTGGGGCAGAGCGGAATGTGACATGTGAGTGGTCATGAGCGGTTAGAAACAAGCATCGAAAAAGAAAAAAAAAAGTTGTGCTTACACAAGGGAAGTGATTGAATTGGCCTGGGTTAGGGCTTTCATGGCTTGCTCGCAACCTGGCGTCTCCAGTAAATTGTTGGTTAAGCTGCAAATCAAAGAGGCATCACGTAATGAGAGACCATGCCTCAACCCCCGATGAAGATCACGCGAGATTGGTGCAGAGTGACCACCGTACTCGAGCGTCCGAGCAGTTACATTGCCACGTAGAGCCTCCACCATAGTTTCTGCGCCGTCGACTGTCAGACGACGGCGTGACAGACTGTGTACACGCATATGGCGTAGCGGTGAATCAAACACACGCTGGAAGCGAAGCACGCAATGCCAACCAGCTCGCGAGCACGTACTTGACCACGCTTTTGTTAGAGATGAAAGAACGCCAGTAGTCGGAAGTCCAGGAGTTGGCATCAACGGGGGTTAGGACCAGATTACTGAGGGAGATGGTGACGTCGCCGTCCGGGAAGCGAATGAGCACGGCCAGGAAGGTCGCCACCTTGATGATTGAGCTCACAAGCACAACCGACAGAACAAAGGTCTGCGCCTGCACATCGTAGCCCAGCAGGGTGCCCACTCCAAAGACAACCGAGGCAATGGTGGAGAAGGCAAACACACGCCAGCGCTCGGGCTTGTGCTGATTCAAGGGCATGGAAACCATGAGGCCAACACCAAGGCGCGCCAGCAACTCAAACCATGGCATGGCCACCATGTTGCGAAAGGAGTGGCGTTCTGGCAGCAAAAGGAGAAACAGCTCGACCAGAATGTAGGTGACCAGCCCGAGCGCCACCAACGAGGGGCTAGCATAGAGGAAAAAAACGCCCAGGCTGAACGAGCGCGAGAGAATGTCACAGAGAAAGTAGAGATGGACTGCAGCGCCCTGGAGGAACGTAAGGTTGCTGTCACGCTGGAAGGTCGTGAGCAGCTTGCCGCTGACGGTAATGGTGAGGCGAAAGCAGCTGATGCACAAAGAACTGACAATCACCCGCGTGCCGTAGTTCTGGTGGTCCTTGGCCAACGCCAACATGAGGTATGCCTGCAACAGGGACTGTGGGAGAGCTTCCAAAAGAGCTTCAAAGAGGCCGAGGTCACCGGCGGCGCGCTTGGTCATGACAGGATTGCGATCCTTGGTGCAGCTGGACACCAGATAGTAGAGCATGCGAACCTCAAAGAGATTGAGCAGCACCCCCTTCCAACCCATACCGCCTGCTAAGCACATATCGAGCACACACACAAAGAAGACACGGCCTGCGAGGAGAAAGCAGACCAGTCCGGCAATCCGCAAGTCGTGGCTTTGAAAGAGACTGATGACCAGGAGAAAGTCGGAAATGACATCAAAGTAGTAGAGAAGAGCGGAGAACAGCAGGCGGGCAAAGGCACTGGTGTTCACGAGTGGTTTGGCATAGGCCTTTTCATTTTGGTCTGGCTCGATAAACTCGTTGACAATGAGCTGCTCACCGAGCTGTGGCTCGCCTGACACGGTCGAGTCTGGCTCACGATAACGCATGGAGCGGCGCATGTGCATGTTGGCCATGGCCAGAGCACGGTCGGGAAGTCGCAACGTGTCGGTCATGGCATCGGTGCTTCACGCCCCCTACGACTGGCCGACGCAGGGGTCGATGGGCACGAGTGGCTAGAAGACAGAACCAGCAAGCCGCTGATGGCGACCTGATTGCCAAAACCGGCCGGTCATGCGCGTGCCTGTGAACCGCTGACTTTTGTGCCAGGAGCAGCACTCAACATGATCAGAGACTGCACCAGCACTGCTCACTTCCTAGGCCACCCCAAGCGCACTAAGCTTTGTCGCACTGATGCGCGGTCTCAGGCCACACGATGAGCCGGCGAGCGTATCATTCACATGTAAAAAAAAAAAAAAAAAGCAAGCGTCGTGCCAGCTGTGCCGAGTCAGAAACCTCAAACGAAACGGAGTCTGACATCATAAAGTCCAGATAAATCTTCATAAACTCGAACGCGGAGCAAGAAGTGCAAAAGGCCGACTATCATATATGCTTCAAGAACTCACATATCTACGACAAGATTAAAGTGCTTTGGGAGTTACAAACGCGACGAGCTTGCATCAAATGTGCAAAAATTTGGATGCGACAGCATTTCAATTCTGCCCAAAGGGTGTTTGAGGAGGTGGTGCTCGCACACACACACACACTCGCACACACAAGGCCACAGGGGGGCTCGAAGCCTCACACAACGAATGACTGTAGTACAGAACGTGAAACTGGCAGGAAAGCCAAGCAAGACACGAAAACAGGGGGAAGTATAGAATAAAGGCCAGTCTGGCCTGCAAACGTAACAACAAAGCAGGAGGAGACATCATACAATGGAGGACACAAGAAGATCAACACACAATCTCAGCTGCGGCATGTCGCAGACACCACACGCAGACCATGAAACATATCCAAACCAACGCGCGCGCACACACACACACACACACACACACACAGGCCTATGCTACAAGAATGCCGGCAGATCATTGCACCAGTGCGGCCAGGGCCTGTTGCGTGTCTTCTCCCATCAATGGGTGTAAGAGCTGTTGATTGAGCTCGCAAGCCTGGTTTAGCGTAAGGGGCGCTGAGCCCAGCGAAAGGCCATCGTGAAGCTCATCGGTGGGCGCCCACGAACGGCTGGCAAACAGGTCCGCAGAGCACGTGACCAACGGCTCCTGGCCGGCCGCAGTGCCCATGTGCGCGTAGTGGCTGGCAGATGATGTGGGCAATGTTGGGGCAAGAAGCATGTCCAAGGGAGGTAAAGGCTCCTCCGAGGTCATGGGCCAGCCATAGAATAGCTCAATAGTGGCAGGTTGTCCCAGTTGTTCCAGTAGGGCAGCAATAGACATATGCTCGTCAAGGCATGGGGATTGACTTGCAGAGTCGCCGGCAAAAAGCGCCAACGACTCGATGCCATCAAGTGGACCCTTGCGCGTTAGATATTGCCTGAACAGAAACAGTGTGGTGCCATTGACAACATCAGGGCCACATTTACTGTGAGCTACAACGACAGATGCGCAACTGGATGAACAAAGCACAAGGTACCAGCAGTAACGTACCGCAGTAAGTTCTGAACTTTCTCGACGCTCTTGTGCAGCTTGAGGACGACGCGAAGCTGAGCTTTTTGACCAATTGACCGAACGCGTTGCTCGGTAGCGTCATCATGGGGTATGAAGACGCAACTGATATCCGCACGCGGAGAGGTGGCAAGCGCGCGGTGTCCCAACGATAAATCCGTATCCATAGGAGAAGGGGTCGACGGCATGGGGTCAGTGCCCTGTGACTCCAGAAACATGGGCCCGAGGGATCGAGCTGGAGCTGGAGCTGGGTGTGACACAGCTGCTGATGCCAAGGTAGCGGGTGCAGGCGCCGCGATCGAGGCGGAGCGTGCCGCACTGGACGTCGACATGTGCGTGCTGGTGACTGCCTTGGCCTCACGAGTGGCCTTTGCATCCGGGGATGGCTGGGTAAGCAGTCCAGACGAGGACGTGGTCGGGGACGTGGTTGACATGGTTGAGCGCCTGGTGGGTGCTTTAAGGATGGGCGGGGTTTGCAGTACCAGAGCGTCTGTGACACTCTTGGGTCGCTTCGAGCTGTCCCGGTTGCCCTCAGGTTCAGGGGTGTGCACGCGTTTTGGGCCACCCACAGAGGACGATTGTGCCTGAGAAGGCGAGAGTAGATCGGGACCAGCTTGACTGGGCGAGAGATCCGATGGTGGGTCAAGGTCGAGATCCCAGCCGTCAAGATCGAGATCAAAGTCGAGATCGTTGTCGTCGCTGCCCGAAGCGGGCGAGCCGTGGGGTTGATTTTGGGCAGCCTTGACGGGAGACACTGCATCCGATGCCACTGATCCTAGGGGTTCTGCTGCCTCGCTGCCGCATCGCCATACCAACATGCAAAAAGCAGGTCAAAGAAACTGTCTCGGCACAAACATACATGTATGCACCCGCCTCCATCCCATTTGCTCGCTGGACATGGAAGACTTACGCACGAACATGCCCAATGACCTTTTCCACCTCTTGCAGCAAGGCAGAGCGTGACCCACAACGCTTCAGCAAAGCGAAGAGAACATCCTATGTGCCGCATTGGGGTGCCCGAGATATGAGAACCAATGAGCTTTCCAACGCATGGTGGGACGAGAAGAGCAGAGCAAGCAAAGAGCGTTTGGCAACAAAGCAAGCAGCATGCCTTCAACCGGATGAAGGACGTCATAGAATCAGACAGGCGGGCGGGCAAGGGTCAGGACAACCGCAGACAGTCGACGACACATACGGTATGTGAATCAAGGATGTGATCGAGGGCCAGGTCATCATGGGTCAGGCCCTGCCAAAAGGGACTGGCGTCGCTAGACGTGGCCGTCTTGAGCGAGACAGAAGTGGAAGACTCTTCTGTCTTTTCGGTTTTGCTCTGTGCAAGAGTAGAATACAATATCGCAGGGGTGAGCAGAGCGCCCAGCAGAAAAGAGGGAGGGAAGCAAGAAGGTCTCGAGTGACCGAAGAGGATTGACGCACCAAGGCGGTGGAGGGCACGGTGGTTTGAAGCCGAAGAGTTTGCTTGGCGCGGTTGCGCACAAAAGTTGTAGAGCCGTGGTTGATGATCTGAGAGAGAAGCTTGCCAAAGGCCTTGTGCAACTGCAATCATGGCAAGACAGTCAGTCTACATGACGAGTTTTCCAATGGGTCGGACTCAAGGACCGAAGGACCCAAGAGTCTGCGGCAACATTCCTTAAAGGAAAGGCGGGGGCAGGCTGGGGACGCACAAGAGCAGAGGCAAGACGAGTACATTTGCTCACTTTTTCGTCAGCAATGGGCGCACTGTCCTCATCAACGGGCTTTTTACACGCCTTGGTCAACCGGCTGCGAAGAGTTCGATAGTTCATGAGCCATCTGTGTTGGCAGAGCAAGGTCCAGCAAGAGGTGAGTGTTCGAGTAATAAAGAGCCTGAATGACCATGATACTGCGCAGAGTGCCTACTGACTTGAGTTCATCCTCGCGACTGAGGGTCAGGTCCGCTGCGCGCATTGGAAAAAAAAACGGGTGGTAAAGTGAGCCAAGTGGTCCCCAAACCTTCAAGACCTGAGCAGTGTTGCCCGCAAGGCAACCCGCATTCGGACAAAGGAGAAAGGAAGATCAGATGGTTGACGTACGGCAGTTGAGATGAACTTTGATACGCTTGAGAAGGCGATAGTAGCATTGGCGCACTTGCTTCTTGTGCTTGCCCATTTTTCGAGAGATGCGATCCCAGTCGCGACCATACTGTGGAAGCGGCACGGAAGCAGGCGATGCGGCACATCAGCAACCAATGGGGCAAGTTTTGAAGAAAACCCCAGTATCGAGCCGCCGATGAAGAACGCGGCTGAGCAAGGGGAAGCATGCTGAAACAGAACACGTCACATGCAACATGGAGCCCGAAACACAGCACTCGCACGATCAGGAAAGCAAAGAAAGCCCCTCTTCAAAAAAAACGAGAGACCACGCCACAATGTCAAGAAAGACAAAATGGTTGAGGACTTTGTTCACAAAAAGGAACAAGGGAGAAGGGTACAAGCCCAAGCTTTCCGGGTGCGCGAGGAAAAGACACAAAGCAAGTTGGTTGAGGAAACTGGGGATGTGAGCGTGCCACCAACCGTCGTGGCATATTTGAGGAACAAGTCTTGATCACGGTGGGTCCATGGAGTAAGCTTGGGTTGGTCAGCCTTGGCATTGGCAGCGGTATCCTCATGACCAGAGTTGCTGGATTGCAAATCCATGATTTTGGAATGAGAAGTGCAGGCGGCGGCCCCTCCAACTTCGGCTTGCCCGGGCCCCAGGGTGGTCATCGCCATTCCGAGCTCGGGCGTGCGTGACGGTGGTCACCGACGCACAAGGCGAGGGGCAAAGCGTGTGGTGCCTGGGACTGGGTTAAGACATAGGCAAGAGCAATCGGGCCATGGAAAGGCAGACCACCATGAGTATCAAAGCGATGGCCGAGCTCAAGAAAACAACCCGTTGCCATGATGGCGGCAACGGCGGTGGGGGTGGCGATGTGTATCTCCTCGAACAAAGGGGCGAAGGTGCTTACGGTGGTGGATAGGATCGAAAATAGGGCATCAACCTTCAACGCTAGCCAAGCCCTCTGCCCCAAAACAAACCAACACGGGCAGCGAGTGGACAGGAAACAAAAACCACAGATGTAAATGTCCGTTACACCATTCCTCCTCTCTCCTGATGAGTGTTTGACCTCTTCAGCACCCCAGCCAGCACCAACTCCCCGCCGGTCGCTCGCAAAGCCCAACAAGCGATAAAAAAAAAAATAAACTTACACACGCTCTTGCCCTCTCTCTCTCTCTCTCTTGTGTTGTGGAGATGTTGAAAATCTCTCTCTCACTCTCTCTCTTGTCGTTGTAACGGCTATATTGTCAGACATTTTGTGACGTTGAGGAGAGAGGGTTTGTAACGGTCGGTAGTTTGCTTTTCGTGTGCAATCCGTACTGATTTGACAGGTGCGGCTTTCTTTGCATGGCGTCGGCCATCAACTTTTTATTCGCCCTCGGGCTTGTCCAAGGTCGTGTCGTAGCGACGAATCAAGGTGGCCTGAGTTACCGAAGCCGTGTTTTCGTTCTGGCTGAACGCATAGCCCAGGTACGTCATGTCCGCAGCATCGCTCTGCGTGCCAAAAATCTGTTTCGATATGGTACAAGAAAGACAAAAGGAGCAAGATGAGTTAGCTTCAGGTCGGTTTCAGTCGCCCACGGGAAAAGTGAGCCATGTGCGGTCCAAAGGCGCGCCTTACGTCGGGCATCTGTGGGATAACTGCGCTTCGCTGTTCTTGGGCCTGAAGCCGGTCTTCCTCCGTGGGATACAAAAACTTGCGCATCATCAACCAACTATACAAACCCACACCCCCAGTGCAACACCCCATAAATGCGCCGTCAGCGTTTTCATCACGGAGAGACAGCCTGTCCACCCAGCTTGCCGCGCTGCACACAAGTCCACAGCGCAACATACATGGCGTCGCGATACAAGGCCAAGACAGGGAAGAGGAGAAAGCTGAACCACACCAGCGCTGATCGATACATTTGCGTGTCCACGCCATACACCTGTTCCGGCCAATGAGCTGACACCGCGTACCCCACAAAATCACAGCCGGGCACACCGTTCGCGCGCCACGAACCTCATATCCAATGCCGCCAAAGGCATTGGACGCCCAGAGACGAAAGTAGATGAGCGTGAAAATAATCCAGATCTGCTCTCATGTAACACCAGACGACAACAACCCGGCGCGATGGTGAGCGCTCGCGGCACCTGCGTGCACCACCTTTGCGGGGCCAGGCAGCAATTTTGACCTTCCTACTTACCAGAACCGAGCCCCACAGGAAGATATGGGTATACTTGGTCCATGAATTGATAACCATCGCAGCCTGCCCGATGGCAAACCATTAGGCTGTTGCACTGAACGATGGCTATCACATGGGCGGCTACGAGGAACAGCAGCTCTGCAAAAAGCACAAACCTTCAAAATGACCGTGTAGATCACAATGCTATACACGACGTGGCCAAAAAACCATTGCCCTGTCACTGTACCATCATTCTGGATATTGTCATGCTTGAATGCTGCAAAACCCAAGACCAAACAAGAGGCTTTAGCACCGCGAGACGTCACCCTCTTGTCCATGAACGGCTGCCTCGCATCAACCGGGCACAAATCCACGTACCTTCCAACGGCAGCCAGTACAACAAGAGACTGTGGTAGATTGAATTCAGGGTCCAGCCCCAAAATACCCACGTATTGAAGTTCTGTCGCTTCTGCCCGTATTGGTAGAGCGACGGGATCTGTTCAGATAAAAACCCCGAGACGAGCCGGGCCATGTCGATAAGAATCATGCGCGCGCACACACACCGACGAGCATTCGCAGCGCCCATCCTAGTGCATCTGCCCCAACACGTACGCTCATCAAAGTGCTTGCGCTCAAGTGTTGATCAAACACGCCAATGGCCAGCGGTGGGAGCAGCGTAAAGGCCACGTTGTACGCGGACAGCGTCCATTTTTCGAACAAGATTTGACCCGAGAAGCCATTGTCAAAGGCAAACCAGAGCTGTAACGGCGTTGATCACACATGCGCCGATGAGCTGACCTATCTCCTTGCCCCCGTGCACTCCATTGACCCCAGCAAGCACGAGTCGGAACACACAGCCCCCGCGCACATGCGCGCGCACTGGCAAATGGACGTACTTCCATCAAGTAGAGTGCAATATTCTTCCAGAAGGAGTAGAGGATGAGCATGGTGATGCGGCGATAGCTCCAGGCACCATGCACCAAAAGAAGCTTTTTGAGAAAGCGAAATTGCCCTACGCTGTAATCGGCTGAGCGTGCCGCCTGCAGCCCCTCTTTGCCACTGATACCCACGCCCACGTGCGCTGCTTGAATCATGCCCACGTCGTTGGCCCCATCACCAATTGCTAACGTGATGGCCGCCTCTGACTCTTTCACCGCTCTGCGGCCCAGCAGCACATCAAGGCGTCAGAGCGAGCCAAATCGAATGCATGCCAACTGCAAGAGCGCCTCGACAAACCGTACCGCACGATTTCGGCCTTTTGCAGAGGTGACACTCGGCACGCGATGACTGCTTTGCAGAGCTTGGCCAGCTCCAGCCAGCGATCCAGCAACCTGCGCCAAAAAAAAAGCGACAATGTTGAACAGAAAAAACAATGGCACGGAATCTGTTGGGGTGTCCCGTATGACGCCACCAATCAGTTTAAAGTCTGTCGTTGCACTGGCTTGCATAAACTTCAAGCCGCCCACACGTACGCTGGTGTAAGAGCAAACTCGAGCGTGCCTCGATCAATGATCATGGCCAGCTTGGTCTGCTCGTCGGACCGACGGTAGGTCTGGAGCTGCTCATCCAGCCATCGAGCGCAGTCGCTGTGTGTGTACTCGTTGGCAACAAGCAGCGTCATTTGTGATGTCAAAAGGCGACAAGAGAAGCCAATGTTAATGGCCGTCTCCTGCTTGTCGCCGGTGCACACCCAAATCTTGATGCCTGCTTGCGCCAGAGCCTGAATCGTCTCTGGGACCCCCTCTTGTAGCCGATCCTCAATGGCTGTGGCTCCCAGCAAGAAGAGGTTGCTCTCAATCTGCGAGCGAGTTTGTGCGAACACAAGGGATGATGAGAGCATGCGACTGAGCAAGATTGAGCCCGGTCACCAACACCTTGAATGTGCGAGCCAATGTGAACCGGGTTCGTTTTACTACGGTAAACGTGCCTGTTCAGCAGCCTCGTCCAGCTTCTCCGCTCGATTTGTCAGCGCAGTAGCGGCAGCCTCATAAACTTTGCTCCATTCTGCGTATCTGGCCTCATCGATTTCAGCCACGGCCAGGCACAAAGTTCGCAGTCCATCCGACGCAAAAACCTGTAAAAGTGCACCCCACGTTTGTCATGTTACGGCTAGACTCTTTACCAACTGAGCATCGTCCAAAACCACCCATGCTCATCAGCAGGTACCTTGAGATGCTGCGTCGTGGCGTCTTGAAAGGGTTGATTGGGCGCAAGCCGCTCATAGATGACATTGTCAGCACCCTTGCAGTATAATTTGATCTTGCCATGTGGCGTTCGCACAATGACCGACATGCGCTAAGAACACAAGGTACAGTCAGCACACTGTGCGACCCAAGCTTCCCCATGATGACGCAAGGACGAGCGAGAGTGCTAAAAGTCACAGGCAGCAGCGGGCTACACGCCAGAACCAGCGCGCGACGAGGCGCCTCCACCATGAAACGGCACGAAATGCTTCGCCCACATCACCCACCTTGCGCGTGCTATTGAATTCAAGAACATTGAGAATCTCGTACTTCTCGTCCCGGCCCAGCGCATTGATCTGCACGCTCTCCGGCTGGCGAACATTGAAAGAAAATCCTAGGCGCTTTACGGCCTCAACCAGCGCCGACTCGTCGGGGGAGGCGGCCTGGTTGGCAAGCGTGTGAGGGGTCAGAGAACCTGTTTTGTCCCTTCAATACTAAGATGAGCCGCAGCTTACTTGATAAATAATCACGCCAGAATCATGCCGGTCGCGCTCGGGGACGACAGTGTGACACACAGCGAGGAGAGTGAGATACTCGCGGATAACCGAGGCAGTGGGGTGCTGATTGGTCAAATTGTCGAGCAAGGCTGGATCATTGAAACGCAACGACACGTTCTCCTGCCGTCCCAACCAGCATGCGCAATGGACCGGAATAAGGCCAGACTAAGTCCGGTGCAAAGATTGCTACAGCCACAACTAGCTCGGAACTGGGCGCGATGTCGTGTAAGTCTGCAAGCTGAGGACAGGCGTGTACCTCCTGATGATTGTTCTCGTAGCAAATGCCGGCGACTGAACACTTGAGTAAGAGCATTTCATTCTGAGTCAATGTGCCAGTCTTGTCGCTGAAAATATACTGCACTTGACCCAGCTCCTCGTTGAGCGCCGAGGTTTGTGCCCGCGGGGGCGTGTCGCTTTCCTCGTGGTACATGTCCAAATCGTTGTTGATAAACACGAGCGCTGCTTGCAACGAATGGGCGGTGGTGCAGGTGCAACGTCAGAAATATTTGTCAAAGGAGTGTACTTGTGTCTCGTAGCACCTTGTGTCACGAGAGACTCCATACCTTGAAAATATTTGACGATATCCAATGTAATGATCAGCGAGATTGGGCTGCCGTCATCAGTGCCAATTACCATCCGCATACAAACTGACTTGAGTCGGGCACTTGCACACACGCACACATACTCACACACACAGCAACATGGGACAAGAAACCTGCTCAGAGCAGCAGCGCATGCCCACTCGAGCATGAGATGAGACGCACATTAGATTGTTGTAGAGGATGATAAAGGTGAAAAAAGTGAGCCAAGGGCTGAGCGGCTTTTCTTGCTCAAAACTACATTTGTTGCAAAGAGTTGCCGTTGGTCAAAGGATTCTACCCAAGCACATCCACGCTACAACTGATGGCTGTGCAAATCCACAGAACGCACCCAAGGTACCAATCGCTTGAGCGGTGCCGATGAGTCCAAACAGCATAGACAATAGTACTGATGGCGTTGAGCGAAATTTGCATCGTCCATGCCAAAGGTGCATGGCGCGTGAAGAGGAAGGCTGGATTGAGGTGGAGATGATTTCAAGGGCACCGCCAGTCCGCGCCGGTCCGCGGGCGGGCAAAAAAAAAAAAAAAAAAAAAAAAAAAAAAAAGC